TAAAAACAAAAAATCTAAGTCCATATCCATGTTGGGAGGAGGTGGAGGTGAATGAATGGGTCAAATAAACTCAGGACTTTAACCTACTGTAGGATACCACATTTTTCGCCCCAAAAAATGTAATCTTGAATATTTTATTTGAATAATTGTACATACTTTAAATTGTATAACAAACGTACTTAAATCAAACCATAATCTTATTTTATATACACAACCAAGTAGTTTTGTTAAACGTTAGCATCATGGTTTAAACTGCGAAAACTTGCACAATCTTGCAGAAAATATGTTTGTCTCCAAACTTTATTAAGAATGAGGTAATTTTTATGGAAAAATAATTGAGTGGGGAACAGGGTTGGCCAGAGGCAGTCATTCCAACCTAGCTGTGTTATGAATCAGAATTCTGCATGAATTTAATTACTTTTTATGAGCTAGCTTTTTAAAATTCAGAAGTTGTCATGGATTTTGTGACAAGCGTTTGCCATTAATTCGATGTTGTCGTTGCATTTGATACTGTTTTTTTCATTTTTTTTTCTTCTGGTGTTTGGAGGTGGGAACCTTTTTGCTTTCTGCGAAAACAAACAAGCTTTTGTGAAGCCTATTTCAATTCTAACTAAATAAAACACTTGGGTGACCGTACAGAAATAGCGATGGGGCTAGTGCCAGGCTAACCCGAGGGGCCCTATCTAGCAATAATTAGGATGACATGTCTTCTCGTCCGATGCTTGCCGACTAATGACTATATGGGAAAATCTGCAGTAGAAAAGGAGTTAATTGAGGGGATGGTCTACGCATGTTTTTCACCGCGGAGCTAGAATAGCTGGCGCTGGGGTCCCTCTGAATGGTCCCCGTATGGTGCAAAGTGGCACTCGCTTGAAATGCATTGACCCAACAAAAGGTTTTGTTTGTTTGGCCTTGTTGTTTATTGCTTATTACATATGTGTACAAACAGTTGACAATCATGTGTGTGGACATTTATTTGTGTGTGGAGGCGGGAGAGGTGGTGTGCTGAACGTTTACCATGGTTCACAGGGAAAGGCTTTGTTCGCACTACACGGATGATTAGAGCAGACTCCTCCTGAGTGAGAACGACAAACAGGGCACCTCTCTTTCTGTGCGCTTGTTTATGTTGAAATGACAAAGAAACACGTTTCTAGGTCAGAGGTCCAGGAATCATTTTAACACGCACATGTACACAAAGCTTCATCACAAGCACAGGCCTGACCATTACCCCTGAAAAGATAAAACATGGATGAAACTGTTCAGTAAATGTATTTAAAACATTTGATTTCGTTAACATCAAGAATCGTTTGGTGGGGTTTAAGCAGCCACTTATTTCATTGGCGAGTAATCTGTTGATTATTCTCTCGATTACTCATTTTAGTTGTTTTGGTCTCTTATAAGGTTCAACATGGTTGTCAGTGATTCTCAAGACCAAATGGAGGAGAATTTAGGCCATATTTAGAATTCTGACTTTTTTCTTAGAATTCTGAGGATTCAATTTTCATTCAATTTTTTTGTACTTTTTGCTTGGATATCAAAAAAAGATGTGGCCCTAATCCTCTACCATATACCAAGTTTACAGCCTCAAACGTCTTCTTCCATCCACAACTTCAAATGATTCAGTTAACTGTCAAATCTAAGGGAAAATATTCACATTTTAAGAGGCTGGAATAAGAACATGTTGACTTTTTTCCCCTTAGATTTATGATTGATTGGTGCACAGAAATGTGCTTCAGTCTACGCTCATTCGTTTGTCATAACCTGTTTCCCCGATCCATTGTTAACAATTTATGTTTTCTATTCAGGACATGGCTGGGACACCTTGACAAGGTTGTTGCCTAGCCTCAATATTGTATTATGAATCCTCATATGAGCTGGATTTGAGTGACTCAATAAATATAATCAAATCAAACCTAACCCTTGGCTTTAACCTTGGGTTTTTGAAATGTAAACTAAGAGCCCAACACAAAGTAGTTACTTCTAATGTCCAACAAACAAGTCCTCACAAGTATAGTGACACAATTACACAAACACACACCAGTGAAGCACCAGCTTGTCTGTCCCGACCACACCCTTTCTTCTTCCCCCTGCTGCCGTCCCGTTGGGTGGTGTTCAGTTTCCTCCCGCAATCTCAAAAACTGCCCGGTACCAAAGATGTCATTGGCTATCTCAGCAATTCCATCGCCACCTCATTGGTCACCGGGGATGCCAGGACACCCGTGATAGGTCGGAGATGCACTATACTGGTTTCAGGGTATTGATAACTGGCAGAGGGGCTTATCATGGGGCAAGGTGGTTCTATACAGAGCATATCGATCAGAAAGGACTCACAAGAAGAGGTTTTAATCAAGAGGAGCTCAGATATCGAGCAACAATGTAGAAGTCATTTGGTTGAATGTTTTTAAAAATGTTGTCATGGCCTCGCCAACTTGTATAGAAAAAACGTTGTTTAGTTTTCTGGCTTTGTTTGTAATTTACTGCAACAACAAAAAAGAAGAGTTTATCTCATTTAAGATGGTTTATCTTAATATAGCCTAAAACACATTTTCAAACACCAGCATAGAAAAAGGCAATGGTGCATGACATGACATTTCTTCAAAACCACTGCCAGTTTTAGTTGTCAACTTGACATTCAAATTAAAATAGAAAAAGAAAGTAGTAGGTTAAACACTAGCACTCAACTTGTGTGCCTTTTCTGGGATGTTTTACCTTCACACTATCACAGTAACAGCGCAGTGTTAGTGTGTTTCTATGGAAACATAGTGTTAAGAGTAACATTGGCCAATGGTTTTCTTGTTGAGTTTGAGCTTTGTTTTTAAAGTAGTCAAAAATAGAACGTGTGCGTCTCTTTTTTTCCACAACTTTTATAGTACTGTGTTAAGTTAATCACAGCACGCCATATTCCAGTTACATATCAAGGCTTAAAAGTTGGCAAATATTTAATTTTCGTTTTTCCTCCTAATGTTGAGTTGTGCTACTGCTTGTGTGTTAGCTGCTGTGTTGTTTGCTTGTTTTGGAGAAATAATCTGATTGCACTAATGCTCCGGTTTTTGCACGTCAATGCTGGGATATTGGGTTTTACTGTATTGGCTCTAAAGTGTCCATGTTTCAACAGCTATACTAGCCTGTTAAACATATATCATTATTTGTGAAACAAATGTTTTTAACTTAGGAAACACGTACATGCACAATTTGGATTAAAATAAACAACTCATTTTGATTATTTTGACTGATATTGCTATATGTTTCACAATATTATAGGCTTTATCTATGATAAAGTGTGCTTTTCTGAGAGGATCCGTAATAATTAAGTCTTACAATTAGAATACAATTAGGCCTGGATATCACTGCAGCTCAATAATACTTCATTCAAAATGGTATACACATATATACACTTAAAGGTGGGTTAGGTAATTTTGCAGAAACCAGCTCGAGTGCGCTAGAATTTGAAAATACACAACCGGAACAAATCTGCCACCTCCTTACAGAGCCCCTCCTCCAACACACACGAACGCGCACATGACCAATGAGGGCACGAGATAAGTTTGTGCACAGATGGAAGGCTGACAGGCAGGTAGGCTATCCAGTTATTTTAGCCGGGCCGGCTAAAATGATTGGTCGTGCTTTTTACAGTGCTACGGATACACACGGTATACACAGATGCCGTTTTTGTTATGGATTTTTTGTCAAAACACTAAAGATATTCATTGCTATCGGGATGTTAAGAGCATTCCATGGAATATAACAAAAAGTGTATCTCGAGCCGGTTTCTCAGACTTACCTACTCCACCTTTAAACAAATAATTCACTTTCTGCAATTTGAATATCACAATAGTCCATAAGGATTTCCATACATTTTATTTTTATGTGCAGCCCTACTGTAGCTTCTGTAAAATAACTTTTTTTTTACAGTGCAGTTCTTGTGCTTATACCAGTGAACTTTAAGTGTCTAACCCTGTCTGTGTGTAGAGTGTGAAAGATACAGAGGGTGTATTTATTTGGCTGTCCTTTCAAATATGTGTTGACACCAAGAATCCATCTTATTCAACATCACACACAACTTAGCTTCCTCTGTAAAATAAACACACTTACATACAGTACAATGTCAGCATTGCGCTTAAAGTAAACACAATGTGCTTGTTCACACACACACACACACACACACACACACACACACACACACACACACACACACACACACACACACACACACAGTGGAAGCACACACATACACACTGTACAGTAAAAACTGTATGAGTGTCAGCAAATACCCGCTGCAGAAGTCATGTTGCAGGGGATTGTTTCTGCTCCCTGCTGCCATGTTTCATCATTCTACCCCTGTGTGTGCGCTTTTTTGGTCATTGGTGTCAAGGAAAGTGTGTGTGTGTGTGTGTGTGTGTGTGTGTGTGTGTGTGTGTGTGTGTGTGTGTGTGTGTGTGTGTGTGTGAGACAGTGTACAAGCTTTCTTTGAGAATGATGTATGGAAGTGTTGTTTATCACATTACATTTTGCCCCTGCTTCTCTGAAGATCTTCTCTGACACAGTTTTAGGTTTTTGTGTTTCTTGCTAATGCTCTTACCCAATGTGTACAACTGTAAAACAGGCTTAAGGCCGTAGTTTGCCAACAACCAACATGAAGTGTAATGAGTGCAGTAGTCAAGGCTACAGCTGATGTGTTTGGATCAGAGGGAGGACAGGGTGTTTTGGCAGCTATCAAAAGATATAAAAAATGTTTTGGCCTTGAATGTATTATATAATCCTACTATAAATAGAGCAAAAACAACATGAATGTACTTCAATAACTCCCCAGGACTCCAACTCAACCCAACACTGTCATAATAATTCAATTATTTTCCTGCCAAGTTGAGCTCAAAAGCCCATAGAGATAGAAATCTGCTGTTGGGGTCAAAATGTTCATGTCCTATTTACATATCGTAGTTATTTGCTACATGTTCCTAACAAACTCCATCTTTATGTGCTTGTTTCCTCTATTCCTATAGTGGACGTGAGCTCGGCATCACTGCCCATGCAGGTGCCCCCCGGCTCCTCAGCCATCCTTCCCATGGATCTGCGCGTAGTGGACCACCACCCCCACCTCCACCACCACGCACCAGCACCAGCAGCCCTCGTTCGGCCTGGTTCCCCAGCCCCATCCTACAGCGCCCGTCTCCACAGCGTGTCCCACGTCCTCGGAGCCAGGCCGCGGGCCAGTCATCAGTAAGTGGGGACCGTCCCTACTGTAACTGTCAGGTCTTGTGGCTAAAAGTTGTATCTGGATATTTTTAGCTGTGAAATGTTTATATTCAAAAGGCTGAAAACGACTATTTTATACAGCCATTTTAACACCTCTGTAACTCTGTAAAACTCTGTAACTTAAATCACAGTCCCTGTTTTGCTGTATCTCTATGTGGATACTTACACTGCCATGTCGTACACTTTGAACACTTTTGAACTGCATAAATTCCTACCATAGTAGTGTTTTTTAAAATTGTACATGGCTGCTGTGCCCTCACCAAAAGTGATTTACAGCTGTTAGCTAGGTAGCAACGTTGTCGCTAACGGTGGCTTTTTTCCAACACCATGAGGTGCTACGTGTATTAAACATGGAAAAACTTTAACTTAAACCTTAACTTTTATTTGTGTTGTGCTGTGCTGACTGCTGCTATCACTGCTTGTAGCGTGACTTTTGTTACGCAGCCAAGATAGCAGTAGTTGAGTGCGAGAAGTGTCTAGCTTTCCAGACTCTTTGACTATTTGGTCATCTTTCATGGCATTGTATCCACTTTGTGCATGAGTGATGATGATTGTGCTTGTCTGCCAGAAGTTGTCATGAATTTACTTTTTTCTCAAATTTTAAGTCACATTTTTAGATCTCTACAGTTTTTAAGTATTTATTTAGTCATCCCCATCTGGAACACCAGCTTTGAAAACGTTAGCACCAGCTGAGCAAGGTTGGATATACTTTACTGCTTCTTCAGTGTTTTGAACAGTCTTAAACACCGGGTCAAGGAGAAGAAGAGCACTGATGATAATTTGACTCCTGGTAAAAATGTCCAGAACGCCTGGATCTTTAGAAACGCACTAAGCAAATGTTAGTGACCACTGCATCTGCTGCCCCTCTTGGACGACTGCCTAGCAATGTTCGAGAATGAACTGTGTGTACGTGAAACTGCTTTCATTTAGGTGGTTTTACTGAGTTTAATGACCTTGTCCACTGATTTTAGAGGGAAGAAGACCTCTATTGATAACTTGGCTCCCAGTAAAAACCTCATTTACGATAAACCTAACCAGAAGAAGCTAACTGTAATGATGGAAATAGAGGTGAAGACAACATCTCCCTCTTTAATGTCCTAAATGATTCTACAGACCACCAGGAGCAGCAGCTGCAGCAGGAGCTGGTGACGCTCAAACACAAGCAGCAGCTCCAGAGACAGATCCTGATCGCTGAGTTCCAGAGGCAGCATGAGCAGCTGTCGCGCCAACATGAAGTCCAGCTGCAGGAACATATCCAGGTGAGTGTACGAGGAGGGAGTCCTTCCTCAGCTTTATCTACTGCAGGACTGTACTATGCAGAAATTCTGAAGGACAGGGTGAACCATGTGTATTTGAAGTGATGTAAGTGGAAACGCAGGTTGTGGAAGTATTTTACTGCTTAGTCATCCCCATGGGAACCATGACCCGCTTCCGTGTGTGAAATGTGTACGTGACTCACTTTGCTAAAAAGCTTCCCTTAGTGGCCAGAAAGTCAGCTAACAACAATCAATCAAAGATGGGAATAACTCTGATGTTTTTTCTTCATCCCTCTGGTTAGCATTTTGCATTTTGGTCTTGGCTTGCTCATGTCATGTCCTTTACATTAGCTAGCTCTCACATTTCTGCTGATTTATGGCAACATCTTGTTACAACATTGGGTCTCATGCAGCAACACTCGTAAACGTTTCTCAAATGTTCTCTTAAGTCAAAGCAAACCAAACATTCTCAACCATCCAAAATCCATATAGATCATAACTTGTAGGCGTTTGGGTTAATCGCTATAATGATATAAAGTCAGCTCCGATTGGTTATCTGGCCGGCTCTGTTGTGATTGATCAACTGCTAAGAGATGTCCCGCCTTTTAGCCTATCACCTATTTTTGTTGGAGTACTAACCAATATACATTTGTTACATGGGGATGTCATTATGGGACATCCCCATGTAACATGTTCATTTCGTCAAATGTCTGTCTTTCTCACATGCCTGCCACGATGGTCCTTCAGAATTGTTTTTTGAACTCTAATCTCACTTTCGCGAAGTTTGCTGGTGACTCTAGAACAGCTGACAATGTTTGTGTGTTGATTAAGAGGAAAAGGTGCTTGGTATTTTTATTGTTGTTACTATCAGGAAATGTACAGCCAAATCCGGGTCCACCTAGTAGTTTTAGTCAAATAGCTACTCCTGCTGATTTTATTTCTAGATCGGGGTTAGGTTTAATTCATTTAAATGTGCGCAGTCTGTTACCTAAATTAGATTTTGTCCGTATTTGGGCGAGTTCAACTGATGCTGATGTCATTGTCTTATCAGAAACGTGGCTAGACAAATCCATCTTGGCCTCTGACATTTACATAAATGGTTACAATGTATATCGCACTGACCGTCCTAAAAAAGGTGGTGGCGTTGCCATTTATGTGAAAAATAAGTTTTGTGTAACAAATATGGTTTCCAAATCTGTTAGTAAACAACTAGAATTTTTAGCTGTGAATGTCGAAGTAACAAAGGGTCAACAGGTCATGGTGGTGGGTTGCTACAGGGCCCCCTCGGCTGTCAAGGACTCCTTATCTTCATTGGCAAAACTGTTATCTCAACTTTCCTACAAGGAAATAGTACTGCTTGGTGATTTAATTGGGACTGGTTAACTTCTGTGTCAGAGGATTTTAAAACCTTTGTACCTCTTTGAACATTACTCAGATTATAGACAGTCCTACTCGCCCAAATATTAAGTCCCCAATAAATCCTCCTTAATTGATCTAATTTTAACAAATGTTCCATATAAATACTCATCTGTGGGAGTATTTGCTAATGATGTGAGTGACCACTGTGTTGTAGCCACAATTAGGGACACTAAGGTCCAAAAAGTTAAACCACGCATCATAAAGAGAGATAAAAAACACTTAGTGGAGCAGGGTTTTTTACATGATCTGTTTGATTTTGATTGGGGAAAAATCGATCTGTGTGCTGATGTAGAAACTGCATGGTCTTATTTTTATCTTGGTTTTAATGAAAATTATAGATAAACATGCACCTCTGCGTAAATTTAGTGTGAAGGGACGAAACAATCCCTGGTTTTCTGCTGAACTGTCCAGTCTCCTTCATGAGAGAAACAATGCCTGGGCAAAGGCTAGGAAATCCGGCTCAGAGGTAGAATGGCTACGCTTAAGCAGCTAAGGAATAGCTTCACTTCACTCTGTCCTATAGTAATATGTTTTAGAGGAAATGAAAGTGAGTGTCAGCAAGTTGTGAGTTATTGTCTGATCGGTCTTGACTGTTAAATCTCTAACCGGATATCAATAATTTTTTTCAAACGGGAGGGAGGAAAAGTAATCTCGTTCTGTATTCGTTGTAGGTATTGAATCTTAAACATAAACGGACTCCTCGTGCAATTTTTCTCTTAATTCCGGAGTTGGTTGTTCCAAGTAACAGATATTATATCACAGGTAGACCGTGATGTGACGTTTATATTCCTTAAGGTCGCTCATAGTGCACCGCACCGACACCGGGGGGGGCGCGTGCGGCCAAAAGGATTTCCTATGGCTCAACCAGAAGTGTGACTCGGGCATATGAAACCTATTGAATATATTTCGAATCAACTGATGTGCTTTGTGATTTCACTGAATGTTTTGGAAGCTGCGAAAAGGTGTAGAGTTGATGTCAGTCTCGTGATCTCCTGCACTCTTAATTTCGCAAGTGTCTTCGTCTTCGGTGTTCAATTTAGTACCTATCTAGGTACTTGACGGTTCTTTGGCCCCACTCTTCGCGAATTGGTTCTTGTCGAAGATCACTGTTCCTCGGACTGTATCATCGGTGCCGCGCGCTTTGGCGTATGCAGACTATCTCTCGGTCTTACAGACACACTCCGTGTCCTCCTGTCTTATGAGTTATACCCTATGTGATCACCTCGTTCAATCACCCCGGAGGGTTGTAAGGATCCTATTAAGTGCAAAGAACCATTGCTGTATCATGATAACTGATGTGAA